AAGTTATTCTCCCTCTTTAGTGACAGAACTAATATAAATGGATCAGGTTGGGGCTCTCCGAGAAACAGAATCAGGCACGACTTTCTTAACAGAAGAGAATCCACTTTGATCTAAGCCGTTCTGTGCTCTAAACCTGGCAACAGTGCTTGCGCCTGAACAGGTCCCAGTAATTGATGATCTGGGGGAACAAATGGCGAAGGAAAATGGCAACCCACTCCGGTATTTTTGCCTGGAGTGTTCCATGGACAGAGAAGCCTGGAGGACTGTGTAGTCCATGGGGTCACAAGAGTCAGACACTTAGTGACTAAACCAAGGGAACGAAAGAATGTCAGGCAGGAGAAGTAGCAATAGCAAGATAATATATCAGTTGTAGGGACTCCCAGTTTTGTTTTTGTGGTGAAGATTAGCCCGAAGGGCTCGAGATCAACTGGAACCTAAGGGATGATGTTGTTGACCTTTTCTGAACCTTGTGACTTTAGTCAACTAAAGTTTAGTCTCTGTAGACCATCCAGGCCCCTTCATGAATCTGCATGAACCCTTAGCTTAAAACTGCCTTAGTTTTGCTGCTGGGGAGATAACTGCTTCGGGGAAGATCCCCTGCGCTCTCCTCACCTGCTGTAAGTAGTAAATCCTTCCTTCCAGTTTTTAAGGTGGTTGTGTCTTTTGGCGCAACACCTACCAGGAGTTGAACGCGGTTTTCAGGTAACACTAATAAGTTTTCATTAAAGAGCGAAAAGTTAGTTCTTATTTCTAGCAACAGGCTTGAAAGGCAGGGAAGGCTGCTGTGATATTTTTCAGACATGAAAAGTTTGTGGTTGTCCTTTAGCAGAAGAAAAGTAATTTTCACTCTGCCCTTCTGAGCTCTTGGCTGAGAGGGCCTGTGTGTAATAAAAGATGAACAGGAGAAAACCATAGAAGTCTAATGTGAGATACCCAGGAAAAAATGAGTAACTCCCTGAGGTACCCAAGCCACCAGCTTAAATACCGTCTTCAGCCAAAGACAGAAGGAAGTTTGGGAGGTTAGGGGTGGAAACCAGTCTTGAGAGGTTCCTAGGTAAAGCAAGGGTAAGGTTTGATGTACACATTTAAGACCCTGCCTTCTCCAGTGGTAAGACGTTTGTCATTTGGAGTCATCCTTCACTTATGGCACCAAGAAGTGCCCTTAAAACTGGAGATTCCCTTCATAGATGTTGCTTTCCACTTCAAAGGGGGTAACTTCGGCTCTTGTTTTAATCCTCCTGCCCAAGAGGCATATTATGGGGTGGCATATTTTGCTACCCTTCACGGGGCACACGTATCACAAGGGTTCTGATTTTGCTGTTTGGAAATTTTCTCAGAAAGTCCATTGCCTTATGATTTCCCCCTTATTTTCTGTTATGCCTTAAACTTATGCTTAAACTTAGCTGAAGTTTAGGTTTTCTATTAAGTAGAATATGAAGTTTTCTATTATGCTTAAACTTAGCTGAAGTCATTGGGCATGAGACTTGAGAATTCAGAATTCCGTATGAGGCCATAGAGTCAGGTAAAGACAAGTCTGTTTAAAAGTTCCTTAAATATAGATAAAGGTCTGTAAGTGGTGGTAAAACATAGAATCAGGGAGTTTTTTCTTTTTTTTCTTAAAGGGAGAGACTTGAGTGTGTCTAATGAAAAGGATGCAGTTGAAAGTGAAATGCTCCCCACAGGTTGTTTGTTGAATGAAATGAGGATGTGTAGCTTTACAGTAGACACACTAGCTTTCAATACCTGAATACACTGCTAAATCTTAGCTTCACTAATAGTGACATAAACATTAAGTTAATTCCAGTGTTTTGTAATATGATGTCTAGTCTCACCTAAGAGTATTCTTGCCAAATACATTGAGCTTGAATATCATCTAGCCTGTAGATCTAACTTCCTTCCAATTCATAGATATTACAGAGGACAGAGAAGCGATACCATGAAGAAGTAAACAGAATGTGAGATGTTCTACAGGGTAGGTCTCTCCAATAACTCTATTATCATAGAGAAAAAAGAAAGCAGGAGATGGGTTCTTGTAGATGGAGAGGTTTAAGAGATATTACTAAATGTATTGTAGAGTCCTTAGTTGGATCTTGATTTGAACAACTCTGATATCAAAGACATTGGGTGATAATGGGGGAAATTTGAAAATGAACTGGGTATTAGCTACTAGATAGTTGTGAATATGGGAGGTTTGTTAATGGTATTGGGGCTTATTAGGAAAATGTCTTGATATTTTTGGAAATGTGTACTGAAATATTTTAAAGTAGCTTGATGTCTGTTTTTTTAAAAATTTAAGGAAGTATAAAAATTTATTTATATTTGATTTATAATGTGTTACTTTCTGCTGTATAGCACAGAGATTCAGTTATACACAAATGTATATGTTGTTTTTCATATTCTTTCCCATTATAGTTTATCAGAGGGTATTGAATATAGTTCCCTATGCTATATAGTAGGACCTTGTTTATCCATATATAGTTTGTGTCTGCTAATCCCTAACTCCCAATCCATCCTACCCACCCCTCTCCCGTTTGTCAGCCACAAGTCTGTCTCCTTGTCTGAAAGTCTGTTTTTGCTTTGTATTAATAGATAAGTTCATTTGTGTCATATTTTAGATTCTATATGTAAGTGATATCTTATGGTATTTGTCTTTCTCTGTCTGACTTATTTCACTTAGTATGACCATCTCTGGGTCCATCCATGTTGCTGCAAATGGCATTACTTTATTCTTTTTTTGGCTGAGTAATATTCCATTATATATATGCAGCATATTTTCCTTATCCATTGATGTCTGTGTTTGACTTTAAAATGCTTCAGCAAAAGGAACAAAAGTTGGAGCAAATACAGTAACAATATTAACAATTTGTAAACCTTCATGGTGGACATTATGGATGTCTATTATACAAATTTCTCTACCTCTTTCTGTGTTTGAATTTTTTCTAAATAAAAAGACAAAAGCAATTGAGAAAAGTAAGAGGTTCATGAACTAGGTGAAAAGGGATAATCAGAAGTGTAAGGTTACTAAAAAGATAGGGATAGATAGGATTTAAATCTCAGTGGAAAGAATTGACCCAGATGACAGAAAACTCAGCTCCTCTATCATGAGGAGGACCTTTTATTATGGAAGCTCCTTCTGTTAAGGAAGGAAACTCCTTCTTCTGTTAAGCTTGTATTAAAGAAGCTCCTTCTTTCCTTCTATTATGAGAATCATTGATACTGAGCAGACGCGATGGGTGAAAAGCTGCATAGAGTAGCCAGCTAAATAGCTAGTTTGCTTATATGAACTTGTAGCAGAACTACGGGATGTGCCCTCCCATGTTTGACTTTACAGTCAGTGTTTGGTAGTTTGAGCGCTGGCTGAAAGAAAATAGGGTGTTGGGTTTGTCGAAGGTGTGATTTTTGTCTGTTGAATGTGACCTAGTAGAAGGGCAGGGGAAACTAGGGTGCTGGCAGAGTTGTCCATGAAGTGCTGGACCTGGAATCTAGCCTGAGTGAGAAGGAAAGTGCAACTTGAAACTCGAAGATGAGAAAGTTCATAGCGATTGCAGTCAGCCATGCTCTGTCATGTACTTTAAAGCTGCTGAGAGACTAGATCTTAAATATTCTCTCCATAAAATAGAAATGGTAATTATGTGATGTGAGAGAGGTGTGAATGCTTTGGTGGTGATCATGTTGCAAATATAACAATATCAAATCAGCACGTTGTACATCTTAGATGTACACAAGGGGTAAAGGGGTCCAGTTGGGTGCATATGTGCTATCAGTGAAGGTTGTTTTGAGAAGGAACATTTGAATCGAGATAAAGGTGCAAGGAATGAAAATATCAGGGGCAAGAGGCTTCCAGGCAGAGGTAAGAGCAAGTGCCGAGACTGAAGCTGGAGCCTGCTTAGTGTGTTCACTAAGAAAGCTTTCTAATATTAAGAAGGCTTTTGAGTGTCTGGACCAGAGGGGGGGTGGAGAGGGAGCAGAGATATGATGTTAGAGGGATGTATAACAGATTGTGTAAGACTCTGCATTGATGATGTTGTTTAGTTGCTAAGTTGTGTCCAACTCTTTGTGACCCCATGGACTGTCTCCCACCGGGCTGTTCTGTCCATTGGATTTCCCAAGCAAGGATACTGGAGCAGGTTGCCATTTCCTTCTCCAGGGAATCTTTCTGACCCAGGGATTGAGCTTGCATCCCCTGCATTGCAGGCAGATTCTCTACTGCTGAGCCAGCAGGGATGCATACAGCTTTGTAGGTCAAGGTAAACAGACTGTGCACTGAGTGGAGTGAAAAGCTATTGTAGCATTTCAAGCAGAAGAGTGACTTGTATTTTCAAAGGATCACTGGTTGCTATGTTTAGAGTAGATTGGAGAGTGGGCGAGGGTGATAGGAAGGAGACCCGGGGAATGATAGTGGTGACTTCCACCAAGGTAGTCAGAGTAGGGGTGATCAGAGTTGGTCAAATCCTGGATGTCTTTTGAAGGAATGCCTGACCTGATTTGCTGGTGGATTAGAGGTAGGATAGAAAAGAAACAGAACAGAGAAGTTAAAGATGACTCCCAGGTTTTTGGCTTAAACAATTGAAAGGACAGAATTGCCATTTACAGAAATGAGAAAGACTTCAGGATGGTGTGGGGTTTGCTTTTGAAGTAAGTTGAGGTGCCTTTTAGGCATCTAGGTCTGAATGTCTCTTGGTACCTTTGGAACTGTTGTAAAGTATTTCTCACTGTAGTACTGTCTATAATTTAGTCTTGAATACTACCACTCAAGGTGTCTCTTCCATCCTCTCATCCCATTCCTCCGTAAAATCCTTTAGTAAATAATCTAGATCTGTATTTACTAAGCCATTTTAAGTTCTAGTAATAATGTTTGCATTTGAGATTCAGAAGGACCAATTATATGTCAGTATTTAAAAAGTAGATTAATAGGTAAATGGAGAAGTGAATCAGTCTTTCTCTTTCTCTTGTGTACAGGGCTTTTCATTTGTTAGTTTCTGCCGTGAGGAAATTCAAGGATGAGTGAGCTGGAACAGCTGAGGCAGGAAGCCGAGCAGCTTCGGAATCAGATCCAGGTAAGAGCAAACTTCTTCATTTTGAAATTTTATTAACACTTTCATGAACTACTAGTGATGAACAAAATTTGAATAATAGTTTACATATACTAAATAATTTTTGAAATGAGAAATGGTCAATTTGTTTTTATCATGCCTCTAAAGAACACTCCAAAAGTCGTTTCTAACAAATACCTATGTGGACCAGTGACCTCTCTGTCCCTAAGAAGTTAATATTGTGCATGTAATCCCTGCTGACATCATCCTCTTCTACTCACACGCCTGGAATCACAGAATTGATGCTTTTGAACTGTGGTGTTGGAGAAGACTCTTGAGAGTCCCTTGGACTGCAAGGAGATCAAACCAGTCCATCCTGAAGGAAATCAGTCCTGAATATTCATTGGAAGGACTGATGCTGAAGCTGAAACTCCAGTATTTTGGCCACCTGATGCGAAGAGCTCACTCATTAGAGAAGACCCTGATGCTGGGAAAGACTGAAGGCAGAAGGAGAAGGGGATGACAGAAAATGAGATGGTTGGATGGCATCATCAGCTCAATGGACATGAGCTTGAGCAAGCTCCAGGACGTGGTAAAGGACAGGGAAGCCTGGCGTGCTGCAGTCCATGGGGTCTCAAGGAGTCAGACAGACTGAACAACAGCAATACAGTGAGGAAGATATTATATTGTAATATACTAGAAAATTAATCTCTAAAACGTTAGATTGCAGAAAAACATTAAAAATAATTAGTGGCATAATGCTGCTTCTAAGTCGCTTTAGTTGTGTCCGACTCTTTGTGACCCCATGGGCTGTACCCCTTCAGTCTCCTCTGTCCATGGGATTCTCCAGGCAAGAATACTGGAGTGGGTTGCCGTTTCCTTCTCCAGAGGATCTTTCCAACCTAGGGATCAAACCTGTGTCTCTTTTGTCTCCTGTATTGTCTGGTGAGTTCTTTACCATTTGTGCCACTTGGGAAGTCCAGTGGCATAATAAAGACATGTCTGTCTTCTTTACTCTTGGAAATCAACTCAAAACAGTAAAGAGCATGAGGAACAAATACAACTTCATCTTTAACAAAATTTAAAAACACTTAAAACTTCAGACCCTAATAGAATGGGGGAAAGTGATCAAATATCAGGGTGTGGACAGGCTCTAAAAGGAGAATTCTGAGGCTGTAAATCTTATACTCCCACAGGGACAACATCATTCCTTTCTTTTGGAACAATGGAAACATGCTTCTCTGGACTGAGGAATAGCAAGGAAGGCAGAGATAAGAATGAAAGGGTATAGATATGCCATCTTTTAGGAAGCCCCTTGGTGAGCAGGGTAGAGGAGAGACTAAATTGTGTGTACTGTGGTGCTACCTACTTCTTTTCACAGGGAAAAGTAAGGGTTAAACAACTTATAAATGAAGAACCTCATTATGAAGCAGGGAGAATCCAAGGTATTAGTAACTTGGAACACTGCTGTGATCCTCCAATATGAGAAATATGAATCTTTTGCAGCAGTAATTTCAGAATTACTTATCTAATTTAAAAGTGAAGTTTTTTTTTTTTTTAAAAAGAACAATTATAGGATCTATGCAGAGGTATTACAGGAAGGAGAGGAAGGGAGTAGGAAAAACAAGGGATGGGTAAAGAACAGTCAGCAGAAAAATGTTGATATGAGTGGATTAAAACTATAACCAGTCTTCAGTTCAGTTCACTTGCTCAGTAGTATCTGACTCTTTGCGACCCTGTGGAGCAGCACGCCAGGCAGCACGCCAGGCCTCCCTGTCTATCACCAACTCCCGGAGTTTACCCAAGCTCATGTCCATTAAGTTGGTGATGCCATCCGACCATCTCATCTTCTGTCGTCCCCTTTTCCTCCCGCCTTCAATCTTTCCCAGCATCAGGGTCTTTTTCAATGAGTCAGTTCTTTGCATCAGGTGGCAAAAGTATTGGAGTTTCAGCTTCAACATCAGTCCTTCCAGTGAGCACTCAGGACTAATCTCCTTTAAGATGGACTGGTTGGATCTCCTTGCAGTCCAAGAAGACAAGAGTCTTCTCCAACACCACAGTTCAAAAGCATCAATTCTTCTGCACTCAGCTTTCTTTATAGTCCAGCTCTCACATCCATACATGACTACTGGAAAAACCATAGCCTGACGAGATGGACCTTTGTTGGCACAGTAATATTTCTGCTTTTTAATATGCTGTCTAGATTGGTCATAACTTTCCTTCCAAGGAGCGGGCAGTCTTATTCCCAGGAATTCAGGAAGTTAATGATTTAGATGTGAATGAGAACTCTGAGTGGATACCTTAGGTGTCTAAACAAAGCTGTCAAAGGGGGATTTATTTTGCCTGGGATGATCAGAGAAGGCTTCATAGGCTAATCTCTTAGTTAGATGTTGCTGCCACCACCAGAATGGATTCTCCAGCATCTCTTTATCTCACTTGTTCCAGATCCTGAGCAGGAATGACTGATTGGCCAAGCACATTGGTCATGTGGCCGTCTCATTTTAAAACATTCTGTTCTCTGTATCTATAAACTTGGGTGTTTTTTGTTTGTTTGTTTGCGCATGTGAGATTGTATGGTATTTGTCTCTCTCTGTCTGACATATTTCTCTTTTAGTGTAATGCCCTCAGAGTCCATCCACGTTGTCAGCACAAGTGGCAAGATATTCTTTTTTTATGGCTGAGTGATATTCCACTGTGTTTATGTATGTGTGTGTGTGTCCTTTGATCTGTCAACAGATACGTGGGTGTTTCCATATCTTGATTATTATAAATAATCCTGCAGTGAACATGGGGGTGAGTATATCTTTTTAAGTTAAGGTTTTTGTTTTCTTTAGATAAATACCTTGAAGTGGAACTGCTAGATAATATGGTGGTTCTTTTTTTAATTTTGTGAGGAACCTATATACTAATATACTGTTTTCCATAGTGGCTGCACCAATTTACATTGCCACTAATAGTGCTCAAGTTTCCCTTTTCTCCACATCCTCATTGATACTTGTTATTCTGTCTCTCTTTTAAAAACTTTTTTTGAGTTTTTCTGTTTTTCGTTTTATTTTTTTAATTTTTATATTTTGGCTGCACTATGCAGCATGTGGGCTCTTAGTTCCCCAGTCAGGGATAGAACCCATGCTCCCTGCATTGGAAGCACAAAGTCTTAACCTCTGGACCACTCATTGTGGTTTTTATTTTCATTGCCCTGATGATCAGTGATTTGAGCAAGTTTCCACATATCTGTTGACCCAGCTATATGTCTTTTTTGGAAAAATGGTGTAAGATAGTGGTCCAGCTTCCTTCTTTTGCATGTAGCTGTCCAGTTTTCCCAACAGCACTTTTTGAAGAAACCGTCTTTTCCCCACTGTATATTCTTGACTCCTCAGTTGTGAATTAATTGATCATCTCTGTGTGGGTGTGTTTCTGTGCTCCCTATTCTGTTCCGTTCATCTGTGTGTCTGCTTTGTGTCAGTATCATATTATTTTGAATACTATAGATTTGTAATATGTTAATGCTTGGAAATAAGGCATGTGATACCTCCATCTTTGTTCTTTCTCAAGACTGCACTGGCTGTTTGGGGTCTTTTCTGGTTTTATACAAATCTTAGGATTATTTGTTCTGTTTCTTTGAAAAATGGTATTGGGATTTTGATAGGAATTGCATTGAATCTAGATTGTTTTGGATAGTATGGACATTTTAGCAATATTCTTCCAATCCATTGAGTACAGAATATCTTTTCATTAATCTGTGTCGTCTTCAGTTTCTCTCATCAGTGTCTTAGTTTTCGGTGTACAGGTCTTTTGTGTGCTCAGTCGTGTCCGACTCTTTGCGAGCCCATGAACTGTAGCCTGCCAGGCTCCTCTGTCCATGGGATTTCCCAGGCAAGAATACTGGAGTGGGCTGCCATTTCCTCCTCCAGGGGATCTTCCTGACGCAGGGATGGAACCTGCATCTCTTGCATCTCCTGCACATTCTGCATTGACAGCCAGATTCTTTACCATTGCACCCTCTGGGAAGCCCACGGGTCTTTTACCTTCTTGGATAAATTTATTTCTAGGTGATTTATCCTGTTTGATGTAATTGTAAATGGGGTTGTTTTCTTAATTTCTCTTTCTGATAGTTCATTATTAGTGTATAGAAATGCAGCAGATTTCTATATACTTATTTTGTATATTTCTGTATAATTGTATGTTTTGTATATATTATATATATACATTGTATATTGTATATACATTATATTGTATAAATATATATTGTATATATTGCATATATATTTCTATATATATGCAAGTTTACCAAATTCCTTTATTAGTTCTGTTTTTGATTGAGTCTTTAGTGTTTTCTGTATGTAATATCATGTTATTTGCAAATAGTGATAGTTTTACTTCTTCCTATCACATTTTAATGCCCTTTGTTTTATTTCTGTTTGGACTTGCAGTACTATGCTGAATCAAAGTGGCAAGAGTGGGCATCTATGTCTTGCTCCTGATCTTAGAGGAAAAGCTTTAAGCTTTTCACCATTCAGTATGATGTTATATATGTTTGGTGTTATATATGTCATATTTATCATGTTGAGGTACATTGCATCTATGTCCACTTTGTTGAGAGGCTTTTTCTTTTAACCATAAGTGGATATTGAATTTTGTCAAAAGCTTTTTCTGCATGTGTTGAGATAACTGTATGATATTTATCCTTCATTTTGTTAATGTGGTTATATCACATTGATTTGTGAGTGTTGAACTGTACCTACATCCCTTGAATAAATCCCATGTGATCATGGTGTATGATCCTTTTGATGAATTGTTGAATTTGGTTTGCTAATATTTTGTTGAGGATTTTTGAATCTAGATTCATCGTGGATGTCAGCGTGCAGTTTTCATTTCTTATGATGTTCTTGTCTGAAGTGCTTGGCCAATTATTTGGTCGCATGTGAATTTCATTTAGTTCTCATAGCGACCCTGTGAGTTAGATGGTCCTTCTTCATTTCGTAGTTGAGGAAACTGAGCTTCAGTGAGATTAAGTAACTTGTGAA